AATACAAGAGTCCTCAGCGATGTTGGAATCAACCCTCCCTCCAAGCTCCCTCTTCACAGGCCCCTACAACGGTTCATTTCCAGGGAGGGAACTGCACCGTCGGAAGACAACCATTTGAAGACTGCGAAGCATGCCAAAACATTGTTCTAGGGATGCCCGCGCCACGGATCAACCTGACTGCTGTGTCCTGACGATCTGGTGTCGTGCCAGAGAGCCAGTTGTTGGACTTGAGCACCGCGAATCAACATAACTGTTGCACCCGCATAAAACGCCATGCCTGGTACGTTGATCATGGGAAGTGGATCCCCTCTCTACTCGCACAGTCGGATGTCGAGCAGGGCAATGATCCCGAAAGGGTACGCGATGCATTGTAGAGCACGGCATGGCATGGCGTAGAAGAGCGCCGCACAACGTGGCATCAACCGAGCACTGCATTGCATGCCGTGGCATGGCACGGGAAATGACGCCATCGCTGCAGCGGGAGCATGAGTCGGAACGAGCGGAAGCGCGGAAATGAGGCAAGCGCTGCAGCGAGAGGAGGAGGTGCAGGAGGAGGGTGAGGAGGAGGAGGAGGAGGAGGAGGAGGAGGAGGAAGGAGGAGGAGGAGGAGGAGGAGGAGGAGGGGGAGAAGGGTGAGGAGGGTGGGTTCGGCGGGATCGGCCGAGCGGAGGCTTTGTTAAATTTCGAGCCCTGGGACCCTCACAGATCGACGCGGCTCGAAAAATGATGAGACCGATGGAATCTAGGGCTCCCGGCGTGCGTCTTACGATGTTGCATCTTGTTGGCAACGTCGGATCTCATGGGACGCACAGAGGCATACTAGTACTACATGACCATCTCGGATGCGCGCGTCCGAACTGAACATGTGGTATACCCATCTTGTAGTTTATCGTTTCCCGAGCGGTGTGGTCAGAAAGCGCCCGCCACGACGCATACATATACTACAAGATCTCTCAGTGCGCGCGTCGCCCCTGGGGGGGCGACGCACAGATAGCATAAGGGTGCTGGGCTGGCGCCGATCGCAGGGTCCTCTCGTTGTGCCACAACCACGACAGGAGGTTCGGGGGGCAATGTTGTTGAAGGAGCTCCTTTCGAACTTCTTGCGGGGCCTCCAAACCGTGTGGTGACAGACCCGGCGGTGACCTCGAAATCCGCAAAGACCTCACCGCACGGTCCGTCACCACACGGTTTTGGGACCCTGGAGGCTCCAGTCGCCCGAGACGTCCTCGGAGAGGGACTCGAGTCCTAAAACCGTGCGGTGACCCCGAATCCCCACCGACTCACCACACGGTGTGGTCACCACCCCGTTTGGGGGCCCCCGAGGGTCTCCAGGAGCCTCCAGAGGCCCCCGGGGAGGGTCCGTGCCAGGATCTTTCGGACGGCCCCGGGAGTCAGGGGCCATGCAGGGGCCTCGGAAGGTCAGGACTCGGGCTCGCCATCGCTCGGACGTCCATTCCCTGTGTGTTTTTCGGTTTCGTGCGTGGTTTTTTCGCCAAATGATCAAGGATGCTCCTCGATGGCCCTCGCCGAAGGAAAAATGCACACGTCCGAGCGATGCCAGGCGGGGCGGTCTCTACGGTCTGGTTGGCCGAGGTGACCAAGGATCTGCCGAAGGCTACTGCAACTGCGCTGCCGCTCGCTATGCCAACTACGCTGCCGCTCGATGGGCATTTCTGCAGCTGTACGATCGTCCTCTGCATCCCACGCCCCATCGTGGCCTCTCCTATCCTCGTCCACCTGATGACCCCCTCCTCCTCACAAGAAGCATGACGTGATCCGAAACCTAAGAAAACAGCCCCCGCGAAAATCCGTCGCCTCATTCACAAAAGCTTCAACGGGCTGGGGGGAAGGGCTTTGCAGGGGGTGCTCTATCGGGGCGTTTTTTGCTCCGATCCTGCAATAATTGCTGCTCACCTGGCTCATAAGCAGGACGGTAACCCGCACGGGCACGTACGACGCTCCTGAAAATCGCAAATAAGCCGCTTGCCAGAGCGACGGAGACAACTAGTACAATGAAAAAACTGCTGGACCAGCCTTGGACCAAACAGCCTGGAACCAAGCTCCCAGGCTGCTTTACACAACAAACCAATGCGACCTCGTACTCAATATTGGACTGCGCGGCACTACCTGCCTGCTGCGCTATGGGTGTTCTGCCCAAGTGGAAGGCTGCTACCGGTCCCGCCATTGGTGCTGGTGGGTCGCTGGAAGAACCAAACGGGAAATACCCAAGGGCGCCTGGGTCGGAATCGAGAGGCTCGATGAATGTGACCTTGTCGCTCGCGTGGCCATCCACAAACGCTCTCTCGATGGACTGGCCAGGGCGAAGATGGACTCGCACAGTCCACCTGCGAGCAACACGCGCTCTAACCTTCACCTCGACTTGTCCCCAGCCGTTGGTGGCCAACAAGACTGCGGTGATGGAGTCATGGAGCCGCTCGTAGATAAATCGGCTCGTATCAAGCTCTGACTCTGCAGGGAACACGTCTAAAACGAGTGCGTCCCATTTCTGGTCTCCGACCCGCTTTGCCACATCCTCCGAGGTGACAAAGATGCCACCGTCGCGCCGGTAATACATGGGCTGGCGTTCGTACGGCTGCGAAGTGTTAATCTCCGCGGGGCCCTGGAGAACCTCCCCCGACCACACATCCTGCCAGCCGCCTGGCGGGATCCAGACCTGTCTGCCGGTAATGTTCGCGTCGCTGCTCGTGATGGGGGCCACGAGCAGGTCCTGCAGGAAGATGTACTGGTCATTCCTCCTGCTGCTTGCCTGCTCGGGCCAGTACAGGTCACCGCGCGCTGCCAGCGGGAAGCCGCTCCGGGTCGCCTCGCGGCCCGCGGCGATGAGCATCGGTAGAAGCTTGTAGCGCATGTTGATGTACGCCCTGACCACGTCCTCCACCTCCGCGCTGTACGTCCACGGCCTGTGGTCCGCGCCGTGGTAGCGCAGGATCGTCCCGAGGGCGCAGTGCGCCGTCCACCGCAGCAGGTCGCCGCCCGAGCCGCGGTAGTCCCCGCCGCAGTCGGAGTGCACGAACGGCTTGAAGTCGTGGACGCCGCAGTCCACCATCGACTCGACGCTGGCCTGCATGCTCACGCCGTCGCCCGTCCACCACACGGGGTACCGGTGCTGCGCGGGGCTCTCGGGGGGTCGGCCCGAGCCCTTGGGGCCCACGCCGGGCCGCGCGTCGTCCCGGGCGAACTTGGAGAGCGCGAGCCCGCGGCCGCGGCCCGCCCCGGCCAGCTCGGAGCGGAAGCGCTCCACGACGGAGTAGTAGACGTGGGACCCCCAGGCGGCGTTGCCGAGCCCACGCTCGGGTGCTGCCGGAGGTGGCCCTGGCCCCCAGGCCTGCGATGTCTGGGAGCTGCCAAAAGGGCGGGGCCCCTGGTGGCTCCCGGCCCGCTCCCCCGGGGCCGATGTACCTCTCGTCTCGAGTCGCGCCTGGACCGTCGCGGGGCCCGGCGAAGGCCCCCCGAGGCCGAAATCGGTTGGCAGGCCTGCCGGCGCGATCTTCGTCACGGTGCGCGTCTTCGTCTTGGCCCGGTGGGGCGGCCCAGGCTTCTCCGGGGAGGCCCGGGTGGCCTCCCCGGGCGCCCCTCGCGAGGCACTCGAGGCCCGGCCCCAAGACGGCGCGAGCGGCGGGGGGGAGCCCAGGGCCAGGGCCACCCCTGGCCACAACCGACATTCCAGTTGCCCGCGGTACCGGATTGATTCGTGAGGGGAGGGGGGATCGATATCCCCCAGTTGGGGTCGAACCACCAGAAAGTGAGGCCGCGAGCCATCCAGTCCGTCAGGCCCTTCCATCGGAACGCCACCTCCTCTGGTGATGTTTGCAGCCCTCCAGCACCACGGCCGGCGACGGGAAACGGGTGATCGTTGAAATACGTGCGCAGCCCTTTGCTGCGCAGGTACTTGAAAAAGTCTGCCGACCCCTGGGGTCCTGGCGTGGGAGCTGTATTCGCCATTTCCCCGAACAACACAGCCCTCCGACGTCGTGTGTTTTGTTTTTGCAAAGTGAACCTTACCCTTCCCCCAGGGCCCGCTTCTCATCCTGGGGCGTTTTTCGGCCAAGGCTCGGGGCCTGGTAAGGCAGGGGAGCCCAGAATCGAGTCGTCAAGTCGGATCGGCGATCGATATGAATCGGATCGGCGGAACTTGGCAGCTACGTCGAGAGAACTCGAATCGGCGGAGATCGGCAAGCGAGTAAGGCCTCCATTGCGAAAACGGAATGAAAATCGGAACCCGAAGTCCAACCGAATCAGCACCGTAGTCGATCGAAATCGAATCGAAATCGAGTCGGAGGAATCGAAATGAGCCATGTAAGGGCCCGAGGAGGTCAGACATTTAGGTGAACGTTTTCCTTTTCGGCGTTTCGACGTTGGGCGGAAATGGCGGGGCGAGTTTGGCTGGCCGGACCTCTGCTTCATGCGACTGTCTGCAAGAGTGCGTCCTGCGGCGGAGACTCCGCCTGCTTAAAACAGGCGCCCAAAACGGCCAAGCTCAACTCCTTGGGGGGGCGGCGAGGGCCCGCGCCGATCGGCAAAACCATGAATAAGAAAACGACCACTCCCCAAACGCCTCCTGCCGTGCTGTTCTGCTGATCTAGGCCGGCCCTCCCCCCTGGAGGAGCAGCCTTTCGCGGCTGTGGGGGGGGGCTCGACGCCAGTCGGGTGCGCCGAAGCGGGGTGGCCATGAAGAAGTGGGTTGCGCTGCACGGCCAAAGAAATACGTGCGGGGAGAAAAGGGGGAGGCCCAGGAGCGCGAGGGAAGCGAAGACAGGGCCATGACATCTGTGAGACATCCTGGCCCCGGCCATGACACCCCGCCCCATCTTACCAGCCTGGAACATATCCCCATCCCTATGCTGGGCACCTCCTCATCACGATGCCAATCTTAGGGATTCCCTTATTGTTTGAGGGCGAATCCCTAAGATTGTCATCGCCTTTGGCGTGCCAACCTTAGAGATAGGGATGCGTTCGAGGCTGGTAACCATCCCCCTTCCAGGAGGCGACCCGACCCCCGCCTGGAGCGCCCCGACCTTGGAGGCGCCAGAGTCCTGGACACCCGGTCGGCCCGAGACCCGCACATCATTTCGCACAGGCCTTGGGCTGCCCCCGGGCACGCACGAGGCGCCCCAATAGTGGCGTGCCGCCAGAGGACGGCACGAGAAACATCGTCGAAGCTGCCCGCTTCGTTTTTTTGTTGGATCTGCAGGATCGCTGCCAGCGGCGTCCCGAAACGTCCCCTGGACAGCCCAAGAGGCCCCCGGAGCTGCCGAGGGCGGTGGAACAAAAGAGAGCGACGAGCTGGCCCGAGGCCGCCCCCCGGTGCCGGCCTGCGGACGGCCCACGAAGCTCCTGCAGGGGAACAAAAATCGGGGATGGACAGACCCCCCTTTAGCAAACTTCCTGGAAGGCTCCTCAATCAAATCCGCAGCCTTGCACCCAACCAGGACAAAAGATCAGGCGGAACTGCCCGCGCTTATTGGAATGTCTGCGCCGTTTGCTATACCGTCCAGGGTCTATTTCCGTCACACTGGCAAAATTCGGGGATGGACAGACCCCCCTTTAGCAAAACGTGGTCTAGTGAAAACGACCTGAGGCCCAAACCTGGCGGGCGCAGGCCTGGCAAATAACGACCACGGCGCCCTCTCGAGAGCCGAAAACGGACAATTCACTAATCGACGTGTCACTGTTGGGGGCTCTGTCCACTCCAGCCTCGAAAAAAGTGACATAAAGATAAAAACTCGGAGGTCCGCGCGGATTTCTCGGATCGGCGCTGGACCCCCCTCCCTGGCGCGCGGAGCGCGCCAGGGGCGGCGCCGGGGGCGGCGCCGGGGGGCCCCAGCGCCGATCCGAGAAATCCGCGCGGACCTCCGAGTTTTTATGTTTATACCACTTTTTGTTCCCCTATTCTGGCACATCACATGGGCCAGGCGGCCCGAGGGGCCCCGACAGGCAGGTCCAAGATGCCCAAGGGAGGCGGAGCGGCCGAACGAGACACAACGAGCGAGGCCCCCAGCGCCAGGAGACGCCCGGGGCCGGGAGGGGGGGGAGGAGAAGGAGGAGGAGGAGGAGGAGGAGGAGGAGGAGGAGGAGGAGGAGGGAGGAGGAGGAGGAGGAGGAGGACAAGGACGAGGAGGAGGAGGAGGAGGAGGAGGAGGAGGTGGAGAGAGAGGAGCCGCCGAGGCGGCCCGATGGACAGCGGCCGCACGGATTCCTGGGAGTGGACGCATGGAGCACCGAAGATGAAACAGGGCACCCAAACGGCCGAAGGTGGCCACAACATGGCCCGAGAGGGCCTCAAAACGGCCCAGGCTCCAAAACGGCCCCAAAGAAAGGATAGCTCGTCCAGCTGTGTGCACGCGAAGCGCTGTGAATCATCAAAGTCTGGGAACAGATCGGTGTTGGGGTGGTCATAATACCGATCTCTGTCGTCGTCAACGAGACGCCAATTCATGTCCAGCCCCCAAATGTCTAGAGGCAGAGAGTCTAGATCCCAGTGTTCAATGTCGTCCTTTGCCTCTTGCTCGTCGTATGGGTGCCACCAAGTAAACCAGGTCCCGTACGCATAGTCTGGCAACAACGGCACTGGGCCAGTCAGGGTCACGAACTCTTCCCGTGAAGCTGTCCAACTCTCCAAGCTACTGCCAAGCAAAAACACATACGTGTCGCCTTCAACAAGGTTCCGGAAATCGTAACCGCTGGACTCATTCAGCGCTTCGTCACCACCCTCAGGGGCTGGCGTGGCGCCCCACTCCGGGGCGTGAAAGCGAGGGTAATCCACAAGAGCGTAGCTTTTAGCCTCACGTGGCGATGGCCAATGCAGCAAATGCCGATACTTCGTCGCATCTCGTCTGGAGTCATAGAGCAAATCTCCATGGGAACTGTGCACCTCGAAACTATGACGCGAAGGTCGAAATCCAAATGCTTTACCTTTATGGCCAGAGGTAACATCATCGAAAGCTGCAAGTGTGTAGCACATGCCTGTGTCGATATTGTGCGACCAAGCGGCGCATGTCAGGTCGCTGCCGCAAGCGGTGCAACAAGCTTGGCTATCTGACACTGCCGTGCCGTCTGGATACTTCTCTGAGCGAGCGAGGCTGGGTCCAGCTTCGGCATCGGTGTCGTAAAGTATATCTCCGCACGTGAAATCCCCGATGCCTGACACACGGATCTTGTAATACTCTGTTATCGCGGTGAAGCTGCCGCTCTCGTTCGCAACAGTAAGGGGAACTCCAGGGAAACTGCGGTTCCTCACCATGAAGGTCACGCGGTCCTCAAACCCTCTCGGCCCCTTCGGCTCAATCCGGACCAGGGTTGGTGATAAAGCCTGAATGCGCACATCCCCGGCCACCGCCTCCCCAAACTTGCTGGCCGAATGGAGGCACCGAACATCACCAATATCACCAACCACCCCTTCTTCACACATGCCGCCAGAGCGGCCCGTGCGCGGCGCCGAGTGCCCTAGGGAAGGGCTCTGAGAGCAGCCGTTGCCCACACGCCTGGAGCCGACATGGCTACGCACAGAACCAAACCGCGGAGGGCGAGGAGGAGGAGTACCAGGGCTGCGAGACGGGGATGGGATTCCTAACCGCCGCCTGGGGGTCGCTCTTCGGGAGCCTCGGCAGGCGGTGGACATGTGCCCGATTCCGGAAACCCTGTACCCCAAAACGCTTTCATCTCTCGGGGGCGCATTTGTGTTATGTCTGCGAACCCCAGAACGTTGTCATCTCTTGGGGGCGCATTCTTCACTGCCGCCGCCTTCCGCCAGCCTCCCGCCGCCTTCCGCGGGCTTCCGCCGGCGGGGGCGGCTTCGTTTTGCTCCTGCCAACCTTCCGCCTCCCTTCCGCACGCCTTCCGCCGCGGGAGAGGTGGCAACTTCGTCGATCCTCGAAGGCAAGGGCGTTTTTGGAACGCCGCATGTGAAATTTTGCCGCCCACGGCCCGAAGAATATGCACACATCCGCCGCCTCCCCGAGGCCCGCGAACACCGACCTCCTGCGCGGTGGTGATATCCGCCTCGGAAAGGGGTACAGCCAGGACGCACCAGCGATGCCGCAGCGTACCCTCTCGTCCCTACGCAGTGCAGCAGAGTCCTTCTCAGGAATTGGTGGGGAGGAGGAGGAGAAGGGATGGAGGAGGAGGAGGAGGAGGAGGAGGAGGAGGGAGTAGAAAGGAGGGGTGAGGAGGAGGGGTTTGGGAGAGAGAGGAGGCGGAGGAGGAGAGAGGAGGAGGAGAGGAAAGGAAGTTGAGGAGGAGGAGGTGGAGGAGGAGAAGCAAGGGGTTAGGAAGGAGAGAGAGAGAGAGGAGGAGGGGAAGTAGGAGGAGGAGGAGGAGGGAGGGGAGAGGAAGGAAGGGAGGAGGGAGGAGGAGAGGAGGAGAGGAGGAGGAGGAGGAGGAGGAGGAGGAGGATGGGCCTTCCATGCTCACAGAGGGCACGCCCTGCCGAACCACCAGCGCCCAAGAGGCCTGCCGCTCCGGCGAGGCCCTCTCGCTGCCGTGCCCCTGGGAACGCAGCGGGGCAAGGACGGATGCCAAGATTCGGCGGCGCGCACAGGGGGGTAGGGGGAGGGGGGAAGGCTTCTTGGAAGGAGGCTGCTTCTTAGAAGGCACCGGCCTTACATCTACAAAGAAGGCCCGCGCCTTCTAAGAAGCAGGGGTGCTTCTAAGAAGCCTTCCCCCCTCCCCCTACCCCCTTCTGCGCGTGGCCAGAAGATGGCGGGCCTTGCATGCGAGAGACGTGCCCAGCGGTAGCCCACTATGAGCGGACAGGAGAGGAGGATCGATCCAAGGTCGTCGATGGTCCTCGAGGATCCGTTCAAGCAGGATCTATCCGAGGACAGGGCAGGAGGCTTCACACCCAAGGAGGACACAGCCTGCCGAGGACCTCGAGGGTCGACCCCTCAGGCGGTGGTCATGGATACCTCCCCCCTGGCAGTGAGGCATCTTCCTGGTGGCACTCGGCGGAGGAATCCGACAAGGAGAACCCATTCCGAAGCGTCGTCGGCATCCATGCGTTTAGCCGCTGCACCTTGTTAGACGTCCTGTTAGAAGTGGATGCACACAACGTTAAGAAGAGAGCCCGACTCTGAGAAGGCACACCTCTCGATCCGGATAGCTGCTGCAAGCTGAGAAAACGATTGATCGCGGCGCTGAGGACAGAGCCCTATTTTTAATGACGTAGCGCCCTGTCTCCATGAAGCCTGCTGTAGACTTTTACCACGAGTGAGTGCGGCGCTGAGGCGATAGCCCCATTTTTAAGGTGAACCGACCTGCGTTCGCGAAAGTGCTCCAAGGTCTTTTACAAGCGAATGCGCATGCGAGCGGCGCGAAAGAGATGGCCCCATTTAGTGTGGCTGACGGCATTGGAACAGTCAAACTTCCACTATCATTCGGTCGAGCATGTCCCCCTACAGGCGGATTGTGGGTGATATATATATATATATATACATATACATATACATACATGTATGTATATATATAAATACACGTATCTGTATACATATACCAAGAACCATCTAAATTATGTACTTCTACCTCATATGTATATACATGTATGTATGTATGTAAGTTTGTGTGAATGTATGTATGCATGTATGTATGTATGTATGCATGCATGTATATATGTATGTATGTATGTATGTATGTATGTATGTATGTATGTATGTATGTATGTATGTATGTATGTATGTATGTGTGTGTATGTATGTATGTATGTATGTATGTATGTATGTATGTATGTATGTATGTATGTGTGTATGTATGTATGCATGTATGTATGTATGTATGTATATATGTATGTATGTATGCATGTATATATGTATGCGTGCATGCCTGCATGCATGTATGTATGTATGTATGTATATACGTATGTATGTATGTATGTATGTGTATATATTTATACATACATGTATATATACATATATATGTATATGTATACACATGTATCGCCCCCGTACTATTTTTGACAATTGTTGTCTACTCCTCCTGTAGAGGCACATGCCCGCCTTGGCACTATCAGAACTCGGGAGGGCGCCTGGGGCGATCCGCACGGCCCGCCGTGCCGACGCGCCGGGTGTCGCGACGAGGAGGCACCCACAACCTACAAGGGAGAAGGATAGAGGAGGCTGCAATAGTCAGGTCGGGCGAAAGGGGGGGATAGCAATGGGGGGGGTGAGAATCAGCTCACGTAGCTGGTTTCTCGGGCGCCTCCTGGCGCCGCAGGCGGCCATGTATCGAGGAATGGGCCCCTCGGTGGGGCCGAAACCAACTGCATGCAGCAGATTCCGTCACCCCCTTTCCCAATCCCCCCTTTCGTTAAGCCCGAAATAGGGGAACGACACATGACATAAACAAACTATAACTCGGAGGTCCGCACGGATTTCTCGGATCAGCGCTGAACCCTCCTGGCGGCGCCTCTGGCGCCGTCCGTGGGACGCTCCGCGCGCCAGGGAGGGGGGGCCAGCGCGGATCCAAGAAATTCGCGCGAACCTCCCAGCTATTCTGTTTATTCCATTTTCCGTTCCCCTATGCAAGGGCACTAACAGGTCCACACTCTGCTCCAGCAGACCTCCACACTGGGGGGGCCCACAGGCGACGTTTGCCCGCCCAGAACGAGCCTGCACATGTGCGACGTCAAACGAATTCCCGTGATCGGAAAGCGCGTCTCCGACCAGATAGAGCTGGAGTGAAGCAGAACAGCTGAGCACACGACACACACATACACACACTCACGACCACCGCTGCGGACACGGTCCGGGCCTAGCTAAGACCGTGGCCTCAGAAATCTGGCGCGTCTGGACAACATGCGATGCGAGACACATGTAAAACATGGCGAGGGCAGGGAGGGCGGAAAGAAGGTCCTGAAGCTCGTTGCCCGGGTGCTGCTCGGTATTCTGGTGTGTGTGTGTGTCGGTGTGAGAGAGGAGGGAGATAGGGAGAAAGGAGAAGTCCTTGGTGACGGTGTCGGCAGGCGTAGGGCGTGTCGTCTAGACTTTGCTGAGAGTTCATGTTCGTGGTCTTTGTGCTGTGTGCTGGCTGGTGCGGGGTCGGTGTAGTGATGCTCGAGCGCCGTCCATGTTTCGGTGTCCTGGGCTGTTCGCATCCATGTGATGTCGTTTGGTTCACCTTTCGGATGGGTATATGTAGGCGGTCGATGGAGGTCGGGTCTACGTTGGCGCAAGTTAGCCTTGACTACGTCATAGTAAACCTGGTCTCCCATGCCGTGTCAAGGTCTCAAAAAGCCTCGACCAACCCGAACCTGTTCAGAATCGGTCCCGAGAGCCCTCCCAAGGACCATCCTGATGCGGATCCAGCTGTGGTGACGAGAAGCCTCCAGGAGGCCCGGGAAAGGATGGAAAACCGCCAAGGAAGGACAACCTTGACTACTTCCCAGACCACCCCAACCCAACCCGAAGACCCGAATTTCGGGTTGGGGGGGGGGTACGGATTCCATATGTGTTTTCTCGATGTTCCCCGACCCCCCCAAACTGGAAATGGAGGGCAAATTGAGACCTTCGGGTTGGGTTGGGGTGGTTTGGTGGGTGGTGAAGCCTTTGTCTCGACTGGGCGCTGGAGGACGAGAAGATTCCGTGGTGCTCCTTCCGTGGCCCCCTCCTTTGCGCACCCACCTGGGAACTCAGCTGAGCAGCGCTCCTGCGCACGCAGGGGCAACGACGGCGTCGGTCGAGAGGCGGCCGCAGCGCTCAAGCGCTTGGCTGCAGTGCTGAAGAGGACGGCGGTAACGAATGAGGAGTCCGCCCAGCCCCAACCCGCTCAAAACCGGGCCACAAAAAACGGTGCGGTGACAGACCGTGCAATGACCTCGAAATCACAAAAAAACCTCATCGCGCGGCCCGTCACCGTACAATTTGGGAACCTTGGCGGTCCCAGGCGCACGATACATCCTCCGAGAACGACCAGAGTCCAAAAACCGTGCAGCCACCGCGAATGCCCACTGACTCGCAGCACGGTGTGTTCACCGTACCCTTTGGGGGCCCCCGCTTGCAATCGCTTCCCGGACCCCTCCCAAACCCTTCCCGCGGTCCGTGAGGGGAAGCTGGCCCCGTTTTTCAAACAGCACTTGATAGACCTGTCTGCATAACATACCCCGTGTTTTCAATTCTACATGCCCTGATATGCTGTCTGCAGGACAGCGCATGGACACAACCTCCCGCATGGTGTAGATTAGCCTTTCTTTGCAAGTGCGCCTGTAGTCCAGCAAGCCCCCAAAAAGATACTGTACTAACTTCGTGTTGCTGCGAGAAGATGCACTTGATTCGGCGCATTCTCATCCTGGGCTTGTGCCTCGGCTTACCGGTGCACCACGATGATGCTGATGCTTCTGATGCATCTCGGCGCTGAGTCGGCGTATCAGCATCCTGGCTGCGAGGAGTTGCGCTGGAGTCGACAACCTGCGAGAGGCATCATCCTAAGGCGGACCCCCGGCACATGCAACGCGGGGCGGGGTCCGTGCCGACCCGTGCATCGAGGCGGAGCCAGCCAAGGCGACGAGAAGCCCGCAGGGAGGCCCGAGGCAGCACGGCACGGCGCCAGGGGGAGGGACCGCCGCGGCCGCCGCCGGCCCTCCTCCGACGACTGCGCACGGGGCGGAGGCCTGCGGCCGCACCTGGGACACAGACGAGCACCCCTGCTGAAGAGCTGTTCGCGCCGGCGGCCAGGCAGAGGGGCTGCGCTGGCGAGCCCAGCGCAGCGGGGCAGCGTCCGGCGCATGCGGCCGCCGTGCAGCAGGCGGGAGGGAAGGAGGGCGGCGCGGCGGCGCCCCTCGAGAACGCGAGGCCCTGCGCCGGCCGCGGGGGCGCAACGGCGGGGGGGGGGGGGGGGCGGGGCCCCACCAGAGCGCGCACCCCTGGGACCCCACCCCCCCCTCTGAGCACCGACGCGCGCGCCGCCGTCCCGACCTCCGCCGCCCCCGAGGGCCCGCGGAGCCACGGCCGCGGCGCCCTCAAGCACGCGAGGCCCTGCGCCGGCCGCGGGGCCGCAACGGCGGGGGGGCGGGGGGGGGTGTCCCACCAGAGCGCACACCCCCGGACACCCCCCCCCCTCTGAGCACCGACGCGCGCGCGCCGTCCTGCGACAGCCGCCTCCCCCGAGGGCCCGCGGGGGCCCACGGCCGCGGGCCCCCGGAGGGCGGCGGCCCCCGCCCGCGGGCCCCCGGAGGGCGGGCACGCGTGGGGCCCACGCCCGCCGCGCGCCGCGAGGCCCCGAGAGGCGCGGCGCCGCGGGGGCGGCCTCGGGCCTGTCCGGGCGGCCGAGGGAGGATTTGGACGCCCGAAATGGGTACTGAAAGAATGGGCACTATGCCCAACAGCAAATGTTGTCCCAAGCCAACAGCGGCCGCTGCTGGGCGGGCGGCCTCCTGTCTCGAATGGACACAGGCCGCGGCGGCGTGGACAGCGAGGCCTGTTCAAAATGAACAGGAACTGCTGTTGGGCATTGTACCCATTCTTTCAGTACCCATTTCGTGCGTGCAGAGAGGAGCGAGGAGACGGGGAGCAGGGACCGAACGTCCCGGCATTCCTATGGTCCTACCACTTCTGAGAACCCTAAAAAGCTCTAAGAACAAAAGCAATGTTCTTAGAACATAAGCCCGATGTGATAAAACAAGCCAGACTCCGCCAGAAATGTTCTAAGAACAGTTCGTGGAAACCACAAAGGTTCTTAGAACATTGTTTGGTGAGGCTATAGGCGAGCCAGGACGCTTCGCCACTGCTTGGAGACGGGGAGGGGGCTGCGCCCCCCCCTCGACACGGCCCTCGGCGCGGCGCCCGAGACAGACGGCGCTCGCGGGTCGTGTCCACTGAGGACTCCCCCCTCCAACGCGCACCCCCCAGCCAGCCACGCGTGCCCAGGCCGACCATACCCGAAGCCGGGGCAGGCGGAACCGCGCCACAACCCACAGAACATCCAAGGGTAGTTACCACCCCCAGGGTGCACAAAAGCCTACAACAGACACGAGGACCAGAAGGGTACCCCCCCCCCGAACCGACCTCGATCCTATGCCTCGGCCCGACTGCATGGCGAGGAAGACTCTGTTCGCCCACGTGGCGCCGCCGGGAGCCGGTGCCTCTCCGAGCCTCGGCGCGCGCCCGCGCGCGCGCCCGCGCGCGCGCGGCAGCTCGGAGGCGCCCGCCGCCGCGCCGGTCAGCCCTGCAGTCGCCCGACGAAGGCGGCGATGCGAGCGCAGCCCTCGGCCAACCTGGCTGGGCGCCGCCAGGCCTCCTCCTCCTCCTCCCCCTCCTCCTCCTCCTCCACCTCCTCCTCCACCCCCTCCTCCTCCCCCCCCTCCTCCTCCTCCTCCCCCCCCTCCTCCTCCTCCTCCTCCTCCTCCTCTCCCTCCTCCTCCTCCTCTCTCCTCCTCCTCCTCCTCCTCCTCCCTCCTCCTCCTCCTCCTCCTCCTCCTCTCCTCCTCCTCCTCCTCCTCCTCCTCCTCTCCCTCCCCTCACTCCTCCTCCTCCTCCTCCCTCCTCCTCCTCCTCCTCCTCCTCCTCCTCCTCCTCCTCCTCCCTCCTCCTCCTCCTCCTCCTCACCCTCCCTCCTCCTCCTCCTCCTCCTCCTCCTCCTCCTCCTCCTCCTCCTCCTCCTCCTTCCTCCTCCTTCTCCTTCTCCTTCTCCTTCTCCTTCTCCTGGCGCTGCCGCGCGTGCGGAGGAGAGGCGGTGCCCCCATGGCTGAAGTGATCCACGATCGCCGCCCCCTCCCCCTCCTCCCCCCTTCTGCCCCTCCTCGCCGATAGCCTATACAGCCTTTTGCATGGCGCGTGCCGCGCGGGACAGCGAGGCGCCACGAAGCTTGTGAGGGGTGTGCCGAAATGGGTGGCGCGCACGCGTGTGGGCACTGCCAGTCGGACCTTCGGTGGAGCTCCCTACGGGGCCACGAAGCTTGTGAGGGGTGTGCCGAACTGGGTGGCGCGCACGCGTGTGGGCACCGCCACTCAGGCCTTCGGTGGAGCTCCCTAAAGGGCCACGACTTTTGTGAGGCGTGTACCGGAATTCATGGCGCGGACGCATGTGGGCACCCCCAAGGCGGCCTGCGGTGGAGCTCCCTATGAAGCAACGAAACGTGTGAGGGGTCTGCCGAAATGGGTGGCGATGATGGTCATGGTGATGGTGAAGGCGATGATGATGATGCTGCTGATAATGATGATGCTGATGACGATGATCATGATGGTGCTAGTGATGGTGATGGTGATGGTGATGGTGATGGTGATGGTGATGATGATGGTGATGATGGTAGTAATAATGATGATGATGCTGCTGCTACTGATGATGATGATGAAGATGATGAAGATGAGGATGATATTGATGATGATACTTAATGCTAATGCATGTGATGGTGATGATGACTGTGATACTGATGATGATGCTGATGATGATGACGGTGGTGATGATGATTGTGATGATGATGATAATGGTGATGCTGATGCTGATGCTGATGATGATGATGATGATGATGATGGTGGTGGTGATGATGATGCCGACGACGACCATGATGAAGATGATGATGACGAAGTACAATGCTGATGCTGATGATGTTTATGATAACAGTGCTGATGATAAGATGGTGATGGTGGTGATGGTGAAGATGATGGTGTTGATGGTGATGCTGATGATGATGATGATGATGATGATGATGATGGTAATGATGATGATAATGATGCTGATGATCATGATGCATGTTATTATTCAGACGGCGATGACGATGAGGATGATGGAATAAGGGGGTGATGGGATGATGGTAATGGTGATGATGGTGGGAGGAGGGAGGAGGGGGTGGAGGAGGAGAGGAGAGGAGAGGCGAGGCGAGGCGAGGCGAGGCGAGGCGAGGAGAGGAGAGGAGAGGAGAGGAGAGGAGAGGAGACGAGAGGAGAGGAGAGAAGAGGGCGCGCGGCGCTGTCTCTTCAAAACGAGGATCCAACACCACAGGATGGTTGGGGAAAAATCCGGCATCAACATGATCATTCGGAGGTCCGCGCGGATTGCCCGGATCGGCGCTGGACTCCGCTCCCTCGCGCGCGGAGCCCGCCGGGGGGGCGCCGCCGGGCGGGCCCGGCGGAGGTCCGAGGAATCCGCGCGGAGCTTCGACAGCTTAGGTCTGTGAGCTGTGTTCTTCGGGAGCGGCCAAGAGGGGGGTGTCCAAGAGGGGGGGGTGCAAATCATGACCGGCGGCATGTGCGCGGCCCAGCGGGCGGGCCAGGGACGTAATGAAATAAGAAGAGGCGCCATGAAATCTGGGGAGATATCATGGCCCACGCCATGATATCCCCCCCCCTAGTCATCACCCCCCTCTCTTTTCCGCCCCCGAGTTCTGCTTTCGGGCGCTGCCTCTCCCGGGACTGGGCGTACGACACCCGGACGAGGCCGCGGCCCCCCGCCCCGAAGAACTCCCCGTCGAGCAGCGCCACGCCCTCCTCGGCCAGGAGGCGCTCGGAGAACTCGCGGGCCCCCAGACCTCGGGGGCGAGGGCGCGGGCAGAAAAAAACGCGGGGCTGGAACGCCACGCCCTCCTCCGGGCAGGTGGGGGCTGTTTGTTCTGTGCCCTGGGGAAAGGAGCGCCGCGAGCTGGACCCAGGCATGCTCGCGTCGTGCAAAAGTCCGGACGGGAGGTTTTTGGCCGTTCTCGGCCTCGGGGGGCCCCCGCAAGGCCTCGGGGCCGTCAGACAACGACTCGGGATGAAAAGCTGGCCCCGGAGAAAGGGTCTGGACTTCCATAGGGACGCCGTCCTGAACAAAATCCGGGCGTCGCATGTCTGGGGGCAGCATGGTCCTGGCGATGGCTGGCGCGGCACGTGCTCGCCTCCGAGGCCGCTGGCCGGCCGGGAGGCAGGCTCTGCCTTGGCGGCGGGCCTGCTTCAAGAGCTCGCCACCTTCCTGTTCCCCAGACCTCCGACGTCATAATTTGTTTTCTTGACGCGACCCCCAGAAGTCCGGACCCATGCCCGGGGACAGGTTTTTCATCCTGAGTCGTTGTTTGACGGTCCTGAGGGCCTGTAGGGGTCCCCAGAGGCCGAAAATAGTGAAAAAAACTCCCGTCGTGGTTTTTTCATCACTCGAGGGTGTCTGGGTCACGCTCACGCTCTTGATTGCACTGGGGGCCTCGATTGGGGCAGTTGGACTTGAAGAGCCGAACTCCCGGCCCGCCTCTCACGCCCTGCGTAACGCACCGCGGCCGCCAGGCCCCCTTGCAGGGGGGCCCGGTGTGCTCCCTGGGTGGTGCTCCCTGGGGTCTGGGTCACGCTCACGCTCTTGATTGGACTGGGGCCTTGATTGGGGCTGTTGGACTTGAAGAACCGAACGCCCGACCCGCCTCGCACGCCCTGCATACAGTCGGGGCATTGACCTAAGGAACCCTAGATAAGGAAAGGGGCCCCTTTTTTCCATAAGTTGAACCTCGATCTCCCGTGAAAAACCCCGGGAAAACAGAAGGCAAACTGCAGAGCAGTCAAGGAACACCGAGCCCCTCCCCAACGAAAAGGCTTCCTTCTTCAGGGCCCCGACTGTACCGCACCGCGGCCGCCAGGCCCCCCAAGGGGGGCCCGAGGTGCTCCCCGGGGTGGTGCTCCCGCCGCGCGTCCTCGACGAAGGGCGACGGCATGCCGCGAGGCCCGGGCCCCGAGAGGCCCCGCCTGCTCGCAGCCCAGAGGACTGTTTGGGCGTAGGCCATGTCCAGATGCAGTCGAGGCGTTGACCTAAGGAACCCTAAAAATAAGGAGCGGGGCTCCTTTTTTTTCCATCAGTTAAACTTCGATGTCCGAGCGAAAGCATAAGGAAAACCTGAGGCAAGCTGTGAAACACTTAAGGAACACGGAGCCCCTCCCCAACGAAAAGGGTTCCTTCTTCAGGGCCCCGACTGTAACGTTTCGCAAGAGGGCTCCCCAGACATGATATCTCGCGTCGTAGGACCTGGAGGCTTTTGGCCGCTTGCAGCCTCGGAGTGCCCTCGCCGGGCCGCGGGAACGTCAGGGAACAACGTCAGGACGAAAAGCCCGTCCTGGGGAGAGGGTCTGGACTTCCAAGGACGTCGTCCTGAAAAAATCCGGACGTCGCACGTCTGGGTCTAATAGTGATCAAAAATCACACGAGAGAAAAAAACCCAATCAATGGATGCTTTGATGGATCGTGGGAACGGTAAAGAGATCGAGAAGGAGATCGACCGGGAACCCGGGAACCTGGAACCCACCGAAATCGGCCCGGAAGCAATAACCAGAAACCCGGGAACCCAGGACCGGGAATCCGGGAACCCATGGCCTCCGAAGGGGGGGCTGCAATCGACTACCCCCTCTCCCGCCCCAAAGGGCCCCGAGAGCCCCCCAAGAGGCCCCAGGTGAGCCCAACAAGACGCCGCCAAGGAGCCCCAAGAGGCTCCCAAGAAGCCCCCAAAAAAGCCTCCAAGAGGCCCCAAAGAACGCTCCAGGGCCGGCGGAATGAGCGAAGCGATTAAGCACCAGAAGCCCGGGAACCCAGGACCGGGATCTCGGGGAACCCACAGAATCTGTATAGGAACCCATTCAGTATATAAGCAGTGCTTAGGGGAGCTCCACCAGGGGGGCTCCTGGAGGGAGCATCTCCCAGGCCCACGCGGCGGCCCAGCGACGCGGCCTGGCAGCGCTCCCTAATATCATGGTGTGCGGGCTCGGCTCCAGAAGTGCGGTTCACCAGGATGCACTATGGTCCGGTTTCAGCCCTCGCAAATCCAGGCATGGATCCCTCGCAGCTGTTCTAGTATTCAGTCGGGCGTGTCCTGCTACAGGGGGATTTTCAACGAAAACTAAAAGCACCCAATACAAACAAAAGCACGAAAAATAAAAGCACCCAGACTGGTAAAACAATACCAGAATTGTTCTAAAAATACATTTAAAAAGAGTCCCTCGACTATTGATAGACTATTTTTGGATATTCCCCCTGTAGAGGAACACGCCCGACTGAATTCAAGCAGAAGAAAAACAAAACGCCATAAACATTAATTGTTGGCGCTCCGCGAGGATTTCTTGGATCGGCGATGGACCCCCCCTCCCTAACGCGCGGAGCGCGCCCCAGTGGCGGCGCCAGAGGCGCCGCCGGGGGGACCCAGCGCGGATCCAAGAAATCCGCGCGGAGCGCCAAAAGTTCATGTGTATGGCGTTTTTTCTTCTTTGACCTAGCTCGATTTCAGCTCTCGCAGATCCAGACATTGATTAACCATGATAGCATTCTGGCTCGATTGGGCCCTCAGATAATGCGACTCACGAGATTGTGTGTTTCTGTCTTGGTTCCAGCTGACATGCACCTGTCCTGGGGCTCCGCTGCCGTTTTCGGGCCGGGCGAAAGGGGGGGGATAGCAAAGGGGGGGTTTGAGAATCAGCTCACGTAGCTGATTTTCCCGGCGCCTCCCTGCGCCGGAGGCGGCCACGTGTCGAGGAATGGGCCCGGGGGTGGGGCCGAAACCAGCTGCACGCAGCAAGTTTCGTAACCCCCCCTTTCCCGATCCCCTCCGTTTCGTCCAGCCCGACGTTTGCTTGATACGTCTGCTCCCAGAGATTTCCTGGGCCCCAGCGTGGTGCCCACGCGCTCCTGACCGAGGCACGGCGCGGGACCGCACACCACCCGCGAGGGGGGCCCCAGACGGCCCCGGCTGGCCACGGAGAGTTGGTGCCTCGAGGAGCCCTGCAGTGGAGAGACGCCGTGGCGCGTGGTCGCCATCTCGGCCTGGGGCCTCTGCGGTCAGGCCGGGCATGTCCTCCAAGGCAGATTTCAGATAGCCTCCCAAGCAATCAGAAAGAGTCAAACATGCACGATAGGTCGTCACCAGACGTGTTTGCTTGGCCATTGTTGAATGCTCCTCCTGTCGAGGGACGTGCCCGCCTCAACTCTGGGGGGGTAGCCCGCCTCGGAGCCCCATCTTGGGGGCCGCACGCGAGAGAGAGCTGCATGTCCGGGAGGAAAGGCCGTTGCCAGTGAGCACGGCTTTGTTCGGAGGTCTGGGCCCCCATGGACCGGTGCCGGAGACGTTGGCCAGGAGGTACATGGCGCCCGCCGGGCGCACGGCCACGCTGACGCCGGGGACGGCGCAGGGCTGAACCTAAACGGTGGTTGTTGTTTTCGTGTTGTTTTCGTTTTCCCTCGTTCTGTCTTCATTCGGCCTTTACCGCAAAACGATGTCGAAACGAAAACGGCCCACGAAATCGCCCAAACACCGTTTAGCTCCACCCCTGGGATGGCGTTCAGCCGCTCGAAGAGCAGGTCACGCCGCGCCCGGAACTCCGACCGCATCGCTGCGGTGGCGGCGTCCTCGCCGCGCAGGGCGGCGACGGCACCCGCGGCCGCGAAGGGCGGCAGACACGTCCAGCTGTTGATGGCGATGTTGCGCGCCGCCTCCACCAGCGCGGGCGGGAACAGGCCGAAGCCCACCCTCCAGCCTGTCATGGCAAAGGCTTTGCTGCAGCCGTCCAGCAGCACCGTGCGCTCCGCCATCCCGTCCCGGAGCGCCACGCTGTCCTGGCTCGGAGGGCCGACAACAGCATCCCCAGAGAACGCGCGGTCCGACGAGCAGGCAGTGATATGGCGGGCTTGGCCTCCGCCGCAATCACGACAAGCAGGTGGGAGGGGGGGGGCCTCCTCCTCTTCCTCCTCTTCCTCCTCCTCCGCCTGATCCTCCACCTCCTTCCCCCCTCCAACTTGTGGTGGCGGTGGTGGAACGCAGGACCATCATGAACATGGATTATTTTGCTCCCGTCGCACTTCAAGACCACATCCCAGAAAGAATCTCGAGCACCCAGAAGAGTATCGGAACAGTATCGAACGAATATCGCCTCCCAGGGCCCGACACGTGAAAACCCAACAGTTTCGGTGCTTTCTTGGTGCTCTCAATTCTTTCGGGTGGTCAGGGCTGAAAGTAGGTTGAGACATCCTCAATCATGGGGATAAGCTACTGTCTGAAGCCCTGGGTCGTCTCTTCCACGGGTGTCCCCAGTGCCCGGGGCCTCCCCGGGGCCTCCCAGGGCAACAACAAAACATATCCTTTTGGGGGCGCCGCGACCCGCAGGACCACGACCCCCCGCCGAGCGCAGGCCTGCAAAAAAAGAGCGTCCGCAACGCCCCCGGGGGAGCACACCGATCATGGGCAGCTCGCGGATCGCCTTGTCAGGCTGGGAGGAGAAGGGGGATGATGATGAGGAGGAGGAGGAGAAGGAGGAGGAGGAGCAGGAGGAGGAGGAGGAGAGAGGAGGAGGAGGAGGAGGAGGGGGGGGAGGAAGACCAGTGTAAACCCAAGAGTCATCAACGATGTTGAAATTAACCCTCCCTCCAAGCTCCCTCGTCACAGGCCCCACACGACGTTTCATTTCCATTGGGGGAACTGCCGCGTTGGAAGATAACCGTTTGAAGACCCTGAAGCATGCCAAAATATTGTTCTCGGGATTTCAACGCCACGTATCAACCTGACTGCTGCGTGTTGGCGATCCGGAATCGTGCCATGACGCCAGTTGTTGGACTTCAGCACCGCGAATCAACATAATTAACTGTTGCATGGGAGCCCGTAGTGTTCTTGCACATGCTTAAAATGAATACGCGCGGCGCTAAGGCGAGAACCACATGTTGAAAAGAACCCCCTCAACGCGTGAAACTCTTCTATGTTGTATTAACGAATGTGCGCGGCGCGCGAGAGCCACATTTTGAAAACCGCCCGCCCTCAACCCGTGAAACTTTTGCGATGTTTGTTTAACGAATGTGCGCGGCGCTAGGGCGAAAGCCACACTGTGATAACCACCCACCCTCCATCTGTGAAACTATTGTCACTCTCTAATCTTCAGAATCATAAATGTTGAGGAAATATCAGGCCGAACGCCCGGCCCGCCCTAAAAACTGGCCTCGAGGTGCGACAGGGAGGAGTTATCTAGAAGGAGAAGGAATGGAGGAGGAGGAGGAGGAGCAGGAGGAGGAGGAGGAGGAGGAGGAGGAGGATGGGGAGGAGAAGGAGATGAGAGAGTAGTAGGAGGAGGAGCAGGAGGAGGAGGAGGGGGGAGGGGGAAGGAAGGAGAGGCAAAGGGAGGAGAGGAGGAGCTGAGAGACGAGGAGAGGAGGAGGAGGAAGAGGAGGAGGAGGAGGAGGAGGGGGAGGAGGAGGGGGAGGAGAAGGAGGAGGAGGAGGAGGGGGAGGACGAGGAGGAGGAGCTGGAGAGAGGAGGAGCTGGAGGGAGGAGGAGGAGGGGGAGGAGGATAACATAGGGTTCCAGAGTGGTTCGGCGACAGGCCGTCCCGTGGTCGGGGTCGCCAGAGGTGCCCTTGGCCTTCAACCTCTTGGAGCCCCTGGGTCCCTCGGGGCCTCGCGAAGGGTGCGTGGAAGCCGTCGTGCGGGGGCCTCCTCGCAGACCCTGGGGCCATCCTGCACGGGCCCGGGGACACCCACTGGCAACGCCCGACGCGGGGTGTCTGGCTGTTGCGTGTCTCGCCGAGTCGCGCGTCGCCGGACGGTTTGGGGGCCGGCCCGCCGGTCCTGCCGGCCATCGAAGACGGTCGGTGGGCGCGCAAGGGGGGAGGGCCGACGGAGGGCGGTCGTCTAAAAGCTGGCACCACCCCGCCTCTTGGGCGCCACCCCGCCTTCGAACGAGCCTTCCTGGAAGCCTCCAGGAGGGGTAGGTGCCCGCTCTGGGGACCTTCTCGGAGCCACTCCCTCCACTCCTGCATGGATGCTGGGTCGAACGTCCGTCGACTCTCCGTCGGCTCGAATCGGACTCGAGCCGAACTAGAGTCGAAGTAGAGTCAGGCCAGAGTCGAACAGATACGTCAGGCGGGCCCCAGCAAGGTCTCCAAAACGAACATCTGGCCAGGCGGTTGCGCAGCCCTTCGAAGAGGCCCCCCGGTCTTATTGGAAAAAGTCGCCCCCCGTCGCCCTGCCCGGGGTAATAACAGCTGCTCAGAGCCGATCGTAAGTCACGGAACCTGCCGTTCGTCTTGCACTGACGGCATATCAACGAATAGCGTCCAACATCGGCCAATAACGAGCGCACCGCACCCATTAGCTCCCAATAGCGCTCAGTAGGGCCCAAACACAGTGGGCACCGTGCCCGCTGGCGCTGCGTTGCGCCCAATGTCGCCGAATAGCGTCCCAATGTCGCCCAATGCCGCCATTTGGAGCACACGCGTTGCGCCCGCTTTGCTTGCCATTGGGGCGCTATTGGACGCGCTACTGGGCGCCATAGGGCAACCGCACGCTTCCGTGAGAGGGCGACAGGCGTCAGGACGCCGCCCCGTGCGCGCCCACGAAATGAGCTGAGAGTAGATCTCGTCGCTGAGCACCCACGCGCCGCATCGCCGGGCGACGTCCGCCACGCAGTCCAGGTCCGCCGCGCTGAGCACGCCCCCCGTCGGGTTTCCTTTCGGGGCCGGCTGGCACCACACGGATCACAGAGGTTATGTTGTTCCCACTGCACTCCGGGGATGGACAGAACCCTCTTTAGCACAACGTGGCTTAGTGAAAACGACCTCGGGCCCAAACCTGGCGGGCTCAGGCCTGGAAAACGACGGCCGCGGCGCCCTCTCGAGAACCGGAAACGGACAAGTCACTAATCGGCGTGTCATGGTGGGGCTTCTGTCCAACCCCGAGTACTTAAGGACCACGTCCCAGAACTAATCTCGAGCACCCAGACAAGTTGCAAACAAGTGTCGAGCGAAGATCGCCTCCCAGGGCCCGACACGTGAAAACCCTCAAGTTTCGTCTTTTTGGTGGTGCTCGAAAAGATGTCTGGTGATCAAGGCCAAAGTAGGCTGGAGCATCATGACACAGAGGGTGCATCTGAGAAACAAGTCCTGCTGCCAGACATCGATGGGGTGGGTGCTCGAAGCAATTGCTGGAGATCAAGGCTAAAATACGCTGGAGCATCAAAACGCAGATGGTGCATCTGAGAAAAAAAATCCTGCTGCCAGACATCGATGGGGTGGGTGCTCGAAGCGATTGCTGGTGACCAATTCTAAAGTAGGCTGGAGCATCATAACACAGAGGGTGCATCCGAGAAAAAAATGCTGCTGCCAGACAACGATGGAGGGTGCATCTGAGAAAAAAGTCCTGCTGCCAGACATCGCTGGGGTGTGGTGTGGGGGGGGGGGATAGGCACGCGCGCCGCCCACCTGGGGTGTGTCCCAGGGCCTCCGCGGGTCCTCCATCCCCAGGGCCGTCGGCGGCTGAGGCCAGGCGCTCCCGTGGGGCAGCTGCTGGCAGGGTGGTATGGGTCGCGCAGAGACATACTACAGGGCAGTTTTAAAACATAGTTTTTTATATAAAATATGGGACGTTTAATACATGATTAATTTACCACAAATGTTTGCATGAACTCGTCGCTGTTTTTTTATACTGATCCCCTTGTATTTTAGAATATGATCCGCACGCGGGGCATGTATTAAAACCGGCGCTGCAGTACTAGACGTCCTCCTTGGAGGCGCTCGCCCGACCCGAACATATAGTATACCCATCTTGTAGGTCATCGTTTCCCGAGCGGCGTGGCCAGGAAGCGCCCGCCATGACGCACATACTGGCAGACTTCTTGGTGCGCGCGTCGCCCCTGGGGTAGCGACGCACACATAGTATTCATATGTTGGGGTGACGTCGACGACAGGCATCCGAGAGACCTCGGACCCACAACCTGGGCACAGATGAGGGATGGGCCGAAAACCACTCTAGCTTCTCGGCCCCCGTAGCTTGCCACAAGGGTCGGCGTGCGAGATGTTAGAACACTGTTTGGCCATGCCGGGACGCTCCCCTCTGTCTTCGGACCCTCCTGTCAACCACACAGAACTATGCCGAAGAAACCTCCAAGAGGGCCACCAAGGGGGCCACCAAAAAGGCCCCAACAAGATCCCCATAGTATGAGTACGTTGGGTTGGCGCCGATGGCATCCTGTTCTGATGTGCCTGCTGTATTGGAAGCCCGGGGGCCCGATGGCCCAGACTTTACGTCGGGCCTGCCACCCTACAGGGGGATTTGGGGAGACACATGAAACATACCCAACGAATACTGCAAATATGCTCAACCATAATCAAACACTTTGTGGGCCCCTGAAACGGGAGGGCCGTTTTTTTTCACCGTTTCCCAAAACATGTCCCTTGAAAATGGAAACGGCAAAAAAACGGCGACCGGAAACTGTAAAAACACGGTTCCAGGATTGGAGCCGGGGCCGGAACCAGTCAAAAAACGGCGACGGAACCGGTAAAAAACGGCGTCGGAACCGGCAAAAAAACGGCAAAACGGAACCGGTAAAAAACGGCCCTGTCGTTTCCAGGGCCCACTAAGATCCAACAGTCTTCCCCGGACCATCCGGACTATTTCTGAACATTCCTCCTGTAGGGGCACACGCCCGACTTCAACCAGCCTTCGAGGCTCGAGGCCTTCGGTGTGTGCCGCTCTCCGGCTGCGCCCTCGCCGATCCTGGCCCCGAGGGCGCCGGAGCGAGCGAAAACACCCAAGGGCCCCTTGCGTTGGGGAGGGCCCAGGCGTCTCGGCGTCGCGGCGCAAGAAGCAGCGATTGCTCGCTCGTCATGTTCAGCCTTCGGTCGGGCATGTCCCCCGACGGGCGAATTTGGAACGAAAAGTCGAACATCTCCCAAAAATGCAACAGACTGGCCAACACAACTGCAAGAATAATCGTTCCCTGACTATTTTGTGACTGCTTTTGGGCATCCCCCCTGTGGAGGGACAGGCCCGACTTCAGCTTAGCCTCTGGAAGGGGGGGGGGGGGCGCCCACAGTGCCCGAGGACCCTCGCGAACGGCCCGCGACGAGGAACCACGCTCCAGGTAAGGGGTCCAGAGGTTCAGATAGGGCCGCACGAAATGGGGGGATAGGGAAGGCGACCGGTTGTTACTGTGGCCCGTTGGGTGTTAGTGTGGCCCGTTGGGTGTTAGTGTGGCCCGTCGCGCGGCGGGATGGGAGTTACTGTGGCCCGCGCAGGCCGCTCAATGAAAAGTAATATGTAAAGGTATCTCATGTTAGATCTGGAGAGATTCGCAACCCCTAAGGGAGCACTCCCGCGCAGGCAAAAGTGGCCACAGTAACTCCCACCTGGAACCAACGTGGTAGTAGTGCTGTGTTAGTGGTGTGGTGGTCGCTGTGCTGTGTTAGTGGTGTGGTGTTGGTAAGGTTGTGTTAGTGGTGTGGTGTTGGTAGTGGCTGGTTGTGCTGTATGCTGTGTTAGTGGTGTGGTGTTGGTAGTGGTGTGCTGTGTTAGTGGTGTGGTGTTGGTAGTGTTGTGTTAGTGGTGTGGTGTTGGTAGTGTTGTTGAGTTGTTAGTAGGTAGTAGTGTTGTGGTAGTGGCAGTGGTGCTGTGGTAGTGGTGTTGTGGTAGCGGTGTTGTGGTGTTGTGGTTGTGGTATCGTGGTAGCGGTGTAGTGGTGTTGTGGTAGCGGTGTGTGGTGTTGTGGTACTGGTATTGTGGTAGTAGTGCTGTAGTGTGGTAGTACAATGGTGCTGTAGTGTTGGTGTTAAGTAATATCGTTCATAAGGAGTACTAGTCCTACGGAGTACTAGCCGCAGGGAGTGCTAGCCCCAGGGAGTACCAGTCCTAGGAATTACTACCCCTAGGGCGTACTCGTCCAAGGGAGTACTCGTCCTAGGGAGTACTCGCACTACGGAGTACCAGCCCTAGGGAATACTAGTCCTAGGGAGTGCTAGTCCGAGGGAGTGCCAGGTAGTACTGGCGCTAGGGAGTGCTAGCCCTAGGAAGTACTGGCGCTAGGGAGTGCTAGCCCTAGGGTGTTAGGGACGACGAGAAGAAGAATAATAAGAAGTAGTAGTAGTAGTAGTAGTAGTAGTAGTACTAGTAGTACTAGTAGTAGTAGTAGTAGTAGTAGTAGTAGTAGTAGTAGTAGTAGTAGTAGTAGTAGTAGTAGTAGTAGTAGTAGTAGTAGTAGTAGTTAGTCGTAGTACTAGTAGTAGTACTAGTAGTAGTAGTAGTAGTAGTAGTAGTAGTAGTAGTAGTAGTAGTAGTAGTAGTCGTAGTCGTAGTCGTAGTCGTAGTCGTAGTAATTAGTAGTAGTAGTAGTAGTAGTAGTAGTAGTAGTAGTAGTAGTAGTAGTAGTAGTAGTAGTAGTAGTAGCAGTCGTAGTATTTCGGGAAGCCCAAGAGGCTTTTCGGAGAGCCCAAGAAGCGCTTCGGGTGCCCCAAGAAGCTCTTCGGAGGCCCTACGAGGCTCTTCGGAGAGCCCAAGCGGCCCTTAGGCGGCTGGAAGAAGGTCTTCGGCGGCTCCAAGAGGCTCTTCGGAGAGCACCAGAGGCTCTTCCGAGAGGCTCTTCGGTGAAGGGGGGGGGGGGGGGGGGGGGGGGCGAGCCTTTTTTTGCCCCCCCCCCCCCCCCCCCCCCCCCACCCCCCTTCACCGTACTCGATAATTAATACACTCCGGAGGACCTCTGGCCATACTAACACCCACCGGGCCGCAGTAACAACCAACGGGCCGCAGTAACACCTTATCTCATAGGGAAGGGGGGGGGGGGGGGACGAAATCTGCTGCGTGCAACTGGTTTCGGCCCCGCCGCCGGGCCGGAACGGGAGGAGAAGCGCAGAACTCTGGGGCAACCCTCGACATTTTGGAACGCATTCGTTGCAAAACTGCTGCTTGTCGCGTGTTTGGGGTGTGCCCTCGTCCCGGAGAGCAGACGATGATCAGCTTAGTCCGCGGCGAGGCCAGCCTGCGCAGCTCCCCGTGGTCGAACCGGAAGCCGGAGCTCTCCTCGAGCCGCAGGGGCACCGGGGTGGCGCCGGACCACTCGACCGTCGGGTGCCGCCAGAGGTGTGCCGCGGGCCCAAGGCCGGGCTGCGCGTCCAGGGAGGGGGAGGAGGAGATGGAGGGGGAGGAGGAGAAGGAGGGGAAGGAGGGGGAGGAGGAGGAGGAGGAGGAGGATTAGAGGAGGTAGATGGAGGAGGAGGGAGGAGAAGATGAGGAGAGGAAAGAAGGCAAGTAGGAGAGGGCGGTAGGAGGATGCGGAGCGATGCGGATGCAGATGCGGATGCGGAGGAGGAGGAAGGAGGGATGAGGAGAGAGAAGGAGGAGGATGAAGGAGATGAGGAGGAGGAGGAGGGAGGAGGAGGATAGGAGGATGAGGAGGAAGAGGAGGGGGAGGGGCAGAGTGGGGGAGAACGAAAGAGGGGGGCAGGAGTAGGATAGGAGGAGGAGGAGGAGTGATGCGTGGAAGAGGAGCGGAGGAGGAGTAGGAGGATTGAGGAGGAGGAGGAAGAGGAGTGACGGAGGATGAGTGACGGATGAGCAAGAAAGAGGGGGATGAGGTGGATGGTGGTTTAAAGTGAAGGTGTGAGAAAGGGGGGAGTGATGAGGAGGAGGAGGGAGGAAGGAGAGAGGCGTAGGATGATTTAGGATGCTTATTAGGATGAGGATGATGAAGGATGAGGAGTTAAGGCGTGTGGTGGAGTATTAATTAGGAGGATTCTTAGGGGGAGTAGGCATTTAGAGATTGTATTATTTATTCCATGATGTAAATGAGTAGGCTCGTAGGAGCGATGAGCATGAGGAGGAGTTAAGGAGGAGGATGATTCTTATGAGTTTATTCGGGAGTAGTGCAGGATTGAGGACGAAGACGGTAGTACTAGGAGGAGAGGAGAGTGGTAGGCGGGATGTAAATGAGTATTGGCAGCCCTCTTAGAAGGCGCAAGTCCCCCAGAGCCTTCTGAGGAGCCTTGTCGAAGAATGCTGTTCTCCGAAGATGCCGGAGCGGCTTCTCAGAGGGCCAACTGCTGCGGAGAAGCCCCGCCGCATTCTGAGAAGGCCCGCCCCCCCCCTCTCTCGGAGAAGGAAAGGGTACCCATACCTCTCTCGACCCTCCCCACGATTTTCGCATTGTGGGCCTCCTGGGCCTCCGTCGTCGCCACCGCTGGATTCGCCTCGAAATCCTAGTCAGAACGCTCTCCAGGAGAGGTCCGGGAAGTAGCAGTATCGGTAGCTTTTGGTGTCGCACTCCCCAGCTCGGCACGCCGCCGACACGTGGCCTCAGATCCCCATCGCCTCCTGTAACAAGAACCACGGCGGGACTGCCTTTGCCACTGGTTTTGGCGGCCAGCGGGGGCCCTCGCTGGGCCCTGGCACCGACAAGAAAAGCCTCCGGGTGAAGGACCGTCCAGAGGGAGGGCTCGAGGCCTCCCAGGGTCCGCGCTGCGGAAGAACCGCGTCGGGGGTATGGCACCCGAGCAGCCTTTGCAATCGGTGCCGGGATGGCAACCTGCAGAGCTGCCCCCCCAGAAGGCCTGGAGGGCCCCATGGGGCTTCAAAGTGGCGCGAAGAGCCGGGGACACCTAATGGGCCAAGGAACACCTGTGGCGAGTCCCAACTCTTGTCGTCTCGTAGGCTGGGAAGCCGGGGTCCGGGTAGATCACCTCGTCGCCCTCCTCAGCAGCACCAGCGACGGCACTTACGTCAGCGGCGCAGAGGGTCCTCAAACGCGATCAGCAGATGGAGGTGCTGATTGCGATCGAGCATAATCGAAAACAAGCGAAGGATCGCGCGCAAACGTTCGGAGGTCCATGCGGACTTCTTGGAGCACGCTTCTTTATTTTCGGCGATCATGGGCATTATGGGGGGGGAGGAGGGGGCCCGGGGGGGAGGGGTATATGTATAATGTAGCGCCTCCCCCCCCGCCGTGTGGCCAGTGCGCACGAGGGGCGTTACGCTATAGGGAGGGGGAGGGGAGGGGGGGCCTGGGGCTACACTGCCCATGTGCCCCACGCAATCAAGAAGCGTTACGCTATAGGGAGTGGGAGGGGGGGGGGAGGGGCGTTACGCTATAGGGAGGGGGAGGGGAGGGGGGGGCCTGGGGCTACACTGCCCATGTGCCCCACGCAATCAAGAAGCACGCTCCTGGGTCGGCGCTGGACCTCCCTCACCCGGCGGGCGAGGCGCCCCAGAGGCGCTTGGCGCCTGCGGGGGTCCAACTTTAACTTCGAATGCGGGCGCGAGGGCTGTCCTCGGACGAGGGGTGGGCCCGAGAGCGCCCTGACAGGAGCAGCGGGGCGGATGTCGGAAACCCTGAACCCAAAAACGTGTTCACTTCTTGGTGGCGCATTTCTCACTTCCGCCACCTTCCGCCGCCCTTCCGCCGGCGGAGGCGGCCTCGTGTCACTTCCGCCGCCCTTCCGCCGCGGAAGAGATGACAACTCCCTCGATCCTCGAAGGCAAGGCCCTCTTTGGAACGCCTCCCATGACATCCGCGAGATGCCTGGGCCCCGGCCATGATACGTCTACACCGCCCAGCCCTCAATCCCCCTCTTGGGCGCCCCCGAAATTGCTGGGCTGGCCAACTCTCCTCGCACAGCGCCGCGATGGTGTGGAAGATGACGGGCTTGCCTCGCGCGGGCGGGGGGGGCAGCTCCGCATCCACGGCATCCCTGGGATCCGACGTAGCGAAAAAAATGCAACATCGTAGCAATGCACGCCCGGAGCCCATAGACCCCAATCTGTGTGCATCATGTTCCGAGGTCTCGACTCCTTCCCCGGGGCCAGCTTTTCATCCTCAGCGTTTTCTTGACGGCCATGCAAGGAACGGCCTCCGGAGCCAAAGACATGGAACAACCGGCTGCCGCGGTCTCGTTAACGCGACGCCCAGATCTGATAAAACAGTATGGGGTCCGTGCATATGGGGTCCGTGTATATGGGGTCCGTGTATATGGGGTCCGTGTATATGGGGTCCGTGTATATGGGGTACGCCCAGGCCTCCCAGATGGGGTCCGTGTATATGGGGTCGCGCCGATGCATCGGCGATGCATCGGCGACGTCGGCGACGCAGAGACGACGCCGACGTGAAGAGCATTCGGGCTCCACACCTTTCTCCAGGATCAACAAAAAAACTCTGCAGGTTTTTTTTGAACGACCTCCCCCCTCCTGGATCCAAACAGCCCCTCCTAGAGGCATTTCTTCTGAACGAGCCATTCCTCCATGGTCCGAGCAGCCCCTCCTGGAGGGGCTCTGTGGAGCCTCCAGGATTCGCAAAAAAACCATCCTGGAGGGCTCTGTCTTTGAACGAAACCCCCGTCCAGGATCCAACGAATCCCTCCGGGAGGGCATCGCGGATGCATCGGTGACGCGGCGCCATCATCCGACCCCGTCTGCTCGGAGCCCCCGCGGGAGGCCCAGCGGAGACGTGTTCGCCGCTCGCGCTCGCCGCCGGGCATGCACAGCACGCGGGCGGCGTCGGCTGCGAGCCTGGGGAAACCCACATGCATGTGTATATAGCCCTCAGCACGCACCAAGAAACCCCCCTTTCTCCAGATCGTATATGAATTCATATATGATTCCTAAGATTTTCGGGCTTCATTTTGAGGCTCCTTTTTGGTTGCAGCGCGCGCCTTCTGACCCCGTGTTCTCTTGGCATCTTTCAAAAGAAAAGGGGGGTTCATGGTGCGTGCTGAGACCTGTAGCGCTATATATATATATACACACCGATACCGCTACGGTGGGGCCTTGGATAAGGAACCCTTCGATAAGGAGTGCGGGGTCTGGAAGCCGGTAGAACTCCAATCGTGGATCGGCCATGTACGTCACCGCCGCCCTCCTTGGGTACGGAAGCCTTCCAGGGTCCGAAACCTCCGGAGCACATTCCTTGGCGAACGCTCCCACCGTACTCCCAAAACCTCTTCCGGGACAAATTGTGATTAGAATTTCGAGGAGAAGCTAGCCCGTGGCGACGAGGGCCGTTTCACTTGGGTGAGCTCCTCCTGTGTTGCTAGCAGTTAATCATGGTTGAGCAACGTGGTAGCCCTCTGGTAACCCCTACCCACTCCCAAGCAACCTCTACCAGCCTTTTGAACAAGCTTTCTGCAAAGGCAATATCTGCAAAGCGTTAGCGGCTTCTCATCTCCTGGGCACCACAATACAACAGCAACTTACTGTTTATATGATATGATATTCCCACTAACGCACCTTGTCGTAGCGATATAGTAACGGTTGGGATGGTGCAGAACTGGGTGGTCAACGTACTGTCTAACCACTTACAAAGTATGCCGAACCGATTAGCTAAGCAGCGCACCCCCTTAGCCAGCGCAGTTAGCAAACCTGGTTAGCAACCTTTCGTAACCCTCAGCTAATCTGGCGAATTAGCAAGCATGGCCAGACCAGCGCATCAAGTCGCCTAACGACACAATCCGTTGCAAAAGAGCGTAATATGGGCAACCGATTGTAATGACTTTCAAACCGGCCACCTTCCCAAGCAGAGGCTCAAAAGGCGAAAACGAGCCACGAGCCCCGACGTCGCGATTTTGTCCACCCATTCCCCGGGACTGGCTTCTCACCCTGAAAAATTGTTCGACGGTCCCGGGGCCCGGCGAGGGCCTCCAGAGGTAAATTACCCTGGCGACGTACCCAACCCTTGAGCAATGCGGGGCATATGTACAACAGGATTGCTACAACAGGGGCGACGACGTAATATGGACGCCTGTGATTTTGCGAGCAACAATCGGAAGGCTCACAGGCCACCGATCAAGATGTAAGGGCGTCGTAGTGGTTACTAACACAGCCCCCCCCAGGGACGGCGAGGTCTCGCTCAGGTCCCCGCGGTGCCTCACTCCGCTGGACCCAACAGCAGCCTTCGAAAGTGGCGAACGTTTCGCAGATTGCAGCCCCCCAGGGACGGCGAGGTCTCGCTCAAGTCCTCACGGTGCCTCACTCCGCTGGACGGACCAGCAGCCCTCGAAAGTGGCGAGAGTGTCGCAGATCGCAGCCCCCAAGGGACGGCGAGGTCCACCTCAGATCTGCGCGGTGCCTGACTCCGCAGGACCCACCAGCAGCCCTCGAAAGTGGCGAGAGTGTCGCAGATCGCAGCCCCCCAGGGACGGCGAGGTCTACCTCAGATCTGCGCGGTGCCTCACTCCGCAGGACCCACCAGCAGCCCTCCAAAGTGGCGACAGTTTCGCAGATCGCAGCCCCCCAGGGACGGCGAGGTCTACCTCAGATCTGCGCGGTGCCTCACTCCGCAGGACCGACCAGCAGCCCTCGAAAGTGGCGAGAGTTTCGCAGATCGCAGCCCCCCAGGGACGGCGAGGTCTACCTCAGATCCCTGCGGTGCCTCACTCCGCAGGACCCACCAGCAGTCCTTTAAGTGGCGACAGTTTCGCAGATCGCAGCCCCCCAGGGCCCACCAGCAGCCCTCGAAAGTGGCGACAGTTTCACAGATCGCAGCCCCCCCAGGGACGGCGAGGTCCACCTCAGATCCCCGCGGTGCCTCACTCCGCAGGACCCACCAGCAGCCCTCGAAAGTGACGACAGTTTCACAGATCGCAGCCCCCCAGGGATGGCGGGGTCTAATTTGAATCTGCGTGTGGCGTCACTGTGCTGGGCCCCCCAGCTGGCCTCGAAAGTGTCGACAGTTTCACAGATCGCAGCCCCCCGCAGGCAAAACAGGATGAGCCAAAGAGGGAGGCGGGAAGGAAGGAAGGAGTGGAGACCACACTGCTCTATTCAAAACGCATGCCCAACCAAGGAGGGTTGGGAAAAATGACAAGAACCTCCCGTCGTGGTCTTTTTGGAACGACAGGAAGTGGGGGAGGGAAGGGCAGCGGTGTTGGTACCCCTTCCTCCTCCAAAAGCGCGCACGTCCACCCTCCCACCATGAGAGGGTGTGCGGGACGGGGTTGGCAAAGAGGGACATTATAGGTCTCCAACACTTCAAGGCCCGGGCCCCATACGCCTGTCCGACACTTTAGGGGAGGCATCACCCACCGTCTGCGTGCCAGACGCGAAACAAACTCTTGCATCATGCACTCCTTGGCTTCAGGAGTTTCTCCTCTGAGAGCCCGGGCCGCGTTCTGCGGAGGTACGCCGCCGCCGCCTCCCGCAGCGCGGGGCTCCCGCCCGCGGGCTCGTAGTGCGTCTGCCCCGCCCGCAGGGCGGACACCGCCGCCGCCGTGACGTCTCCGAGGCCGGGGCTTACGGTCGGGAGCTTTACTTCAGCGTGTCGCGGCGGCGGCCCCCGCGACGCGCTGCGCCGTGCAAGCGGATAGCGTGCTGCTGCGCTACGCGTGGCGGGAGGCGGGGAGAGAGTCGCGGCACAACGACGCCGGGGGCCGGAACGTGGACATCGTGTCGCGCCGAAGCGTGTTGGGCCAGAACCGGCGGCGCGATTCGCCAAGCCAACGTCCCCGACCGCATGCAGCAGGCACTCGCGATTGGAAACCCTGCTCGCAGAAGCAGTCGGGCACGCTGGTCGTCGAGCTCTGAGGGTCCCGAGGTGCCCCAGGGCTTCGGTGGGCCCCGCGGGGCCATGCGGGGATGAGAGGCTTCCGTGGGGCACCTGCTGGCAGGCTGGTTTCTCATCCGACGTGGCTGCTGCACTCGCAAGCCACCTGGGTAACTGTCCTCCTCCTCCTCCTCCTCCTCCTCCAACTCCTCCTCCAACTCCTCCTCCTCCTCCTCCTCATCCTCCTCCTCCTCCCCTTCCTCCTCCTCCTCCTCCTCCTACTCCTCCTCCTCCTCCTCCTCCTCCTTCCTCATCCTCCTACCTCCTCACTCCTCCTCCTTTCCTCCTCCTCCTCCCCTCCTCCCCCTCCCCCTCGATCAGGACCCAGGTCTGACCGACGGCATTGTTCCTGCCCCCACCCAATTATCTTTGTTTGTCGTCCCTTCCGGCCTCTGCATGGGGCCGGTCGTCGGACCACTGGGTCGGAAGTTGGTCGCGGGTGGGTCGCGGGTGGGTCGCGGGTGGGTCGCCGGGTGGCTCGTGGATTGGGTCGCGGGCCGGGTCACGGGTGGGTCGCGGGGTTGGTCGCGGGGTGGGTCGCGGGGTGGATCGCGGGGTGGGTCGCGGGCCGGGTCGCGGGGAGGACGACGCTAAACAACAGCAGCAACAACAGCAAGTAAACAAACAACCGTTCAAACAAACAAACAACCAACCAACCAACCGAGCAATCAAGCAAACAACAACAACAACACCAACAACAACAACAACAACAACAACAACAACAACAACAACAACAATTACTAGCACGTGGGGACACTCCGTTCTCACCAGTGCCAGGGTTTTCATAGGAGGCGGGCAATACCCCCACTTTGGGGGGGGGCCGGTTCAAGCTCTACCAAATTTCCAAACGACTCTTCGCCACCACCCACACCCAGCTTCCCGCCTATGACGTTCGGACACTTCACTTCGTGGCATGCGGACGACCGTGGCTACTATTCAGGGCCCCGCGGCCGACGACGACGGCGTGCGCGCGCGAAGAAAAAACGAATGTGTCCCGCATGGTATTATTGGACAGGGATGATGGCCCTGGCAGGTGCGCAACCGTTGTCGCAGAAGTTCGAAAAAGTTGCTCGCAAAAGCCCGTTTGACAGAAATGTTTAAAAAGTGTTGGGTTTCCTACAAATCCGCAAGAGCGCGCGGGATGAAATTTTGACAATTTGTTTTGAAAAACCATTGTTTTTTTTATGTTTTTATGTTAAAACCGTTACGAACACTAAGGTTTTGGAAGGATTTCGTCTTGCGCGCGCGAATGTCCACTTTACCTTATTTTTTGCAAGGGATTCTTGAAATTTGATTATATTAGAACAAGAAATGTCATTTTCTAGTGTTTTTTGCAAGGGAAAGCGGGGGGGAACAAAACAACCGGATCTTGATCACATCGAATTACCTGAGGCTTCCTCACGAAAATGATGAAAATGTAGCTGCGGCCTAGGCGGCGCAGGGGGGGCGCGCACCAGGGGGCCCAACAATAATTATTCTTTAGAATAAATAATGTTCAACAACAACAACAATGGCAGCAAACACAACAACAACAACAATTACAACAACAACAACAACAACAACAACGTAGCAACGCACACCGATGTGTGCCCGCTCTCACCCGGCCCCGGGTGAAAACGTTCGAGATCTGGGTGTGCCAACGACTCTCCCGGCCCCGGGCCTCTTCCAATCGTGCAAGCTTTCGCGCGCCTCCTATGCCAACGACTCTCCGGGCCCCGGCAAGTGTGCCCTTGCAGTACGGCGGCGGCGCGCCCTGGTGTGCCAACGCCTCTCCCGGCCCCAGCAAACGCCCTGGCAGCCTAAGGGATCCCTAAAGATTCCGACGGATTCCCTAGAGGTCCCTAAGGAAACCCTCGGGATTCCTAAGAACTACCTAGAGGTTCCCAAAGATTCCTTACAAGATTCCGAAGGATGTCCTACTGTTTCCTAAGGAAACCCTAGAGATTCTTCAGGCAACCCTAGAGATTCCGAAGGAATCCCTGGAGATTCCCAAAGAATCCCTAGAGATCCCCAAGGATTCCCGAAGGAGTCCGAAGATTCCCGAAAGATTCTTGTGATATCCCTGGGAATCCGATGGATTATCCCTAAGGGTTCCTGAGAATTCATGTGGAATTCGTAAGGATGCCTTAAGGATTCCTTTAAAATTCCTAGAAAGGATTCATGGGGGATCCTAAGGGTTCATTCGGGATCCCAAGGGATTTCTTGGGGACCCCTACGGATTCCCAGGTGGTCGGGGGCCACGACCCAGTGCATACGCCCGTCCCGGCCCCGGGGGTGCTTAACTCCGCCAACTCGTTCTCATACTTCACACCTACCAACTTCACTTTCCAAAAAAAACATGATGGACCCACGAACCCGGAAAGGGATAAAGACATGTGCAGCATGGTCACGTTTTCACGATACCCAACTGGGCGACATCTCACGAAACATCCCACGAGACACCCCGCGAAACATCCCACGAGACACCTCACGAAACATTCCACGAGACACCTCACGACACATTCCACGAGACACCCTTTGAAACATTCCACGAGACACCCCACGAACAGGCAACCACTCAACCAGACACGCCACGAAACATTCCACGGGGGTGCGACTGGGTGTGGTCGTGCTGGGGTGTGGTCGTGCATGGGGTGTGGTCGTGATGGGGAGTGGTCGTGCTGGGTGTGGTCGTGATGGGGCGGTGTCGTGCTGGGGGGTTTCGTGACTGGGGGGTGGTCGTGCTGGGGGGTGGTCGTGCTGGGGCGTGGTCGTGCTGGGGCGTGGTCGGCTGGGGGGTGGTCGTGCTGGGGGGTGGTCGTGCTGGGGGGGTGGTCGTGCTGGGGGGTGGTCGTGCTGGGGCGTGGTCGTGCTGGGGCGTGGTCGTGCTGGGGCGTGGTCGTGCTGGGGTGTGGTCGTGCTGTGGTGTGGTCGTGCTGGGGTGTGGTCGTGCTGGGGTGTGGTCTTGCTGGGGTGGGGTCGTGCTGGGGTGTGGTCGTGCTGGGGTGTGGTCGTGCTGGGGTATGGTCGTGCAGGGTGGGGTCGTGCATTTCGCTCGAGACATCCTGCCAAAATTCCAGGAAATCGCACAAAAACAAACGAATTAGTCGAGACATCCTCGGAATTCCTTCGCGCGGGGCGCTTTTCCGCGTCGCGTCGGCCTCTGCAAAACAAGCGTTTCGCTCGAGACATCCTCGGCAAACTCTGCGGAGCAAGCGTTTCGCTCGAGACATCCTCAACACACGAAAAAGTGGCCCGCACCCTGTGATTTATCGATCGGGATTTAAAAAACAAGCGTTTCGCTCGAGACATCCTCAAATTTTAATTCGCCGGCCTCCTTCGACCTCGATATTTATCAGGGAAAAAATTCGCCGGCCTCCTTCAAGTTGGCACCGGGGGACAGGTTTACCCACTAAAAGAGAACCCTGGGCCCAGGCCCTTTCCGGGAAAATAATCTAAACAACAAGCTGGGGCTGGGATGGGCGTTGCACAAAATAACAATAACAACAACAACAACGACAGCAACGACAACAACAACAACAATAACAACAACAGCAGCAGCAACAGCAACAACAACAACAACAACAGCAGCCGCATCAACAACAACAACAACAACAACACTTACAACAACACTTACAACAACAACAACAACAACAACAACAACAACAACAACAACAACAACAACAACAACAACAACAACAACAATAATCCGGATCACGGAATCCCACTTCAACCACGCACCCATGGACAGTGAATGACCGTTCGGCCCCCTCACTCCCACAAATCACGTATCCATCACCTCCTGCGGTCCTGCCCACTGGGGCACCGGTTACCCAGGCGGCGGACATTCATGTACAAACCCCGGCCACGAAGTCTTAGAAGAACAACGAGCAGCATGAACACAAACTTTCGGAGGTCCGCGCGGGGTTCTGGGGTCGGCGCCGGTCCAGCCCCCCCCCTTCCCGCGTCGCTCCCCCCGCGGGTGTGGGGATGGGAGGGGGGGCGGCGCCGACTCGAGAAGCCTCCGCAGAGCTGCACCACTGGGAGCGCCTGTGCTCGTGCGGCCTCTTGCTCTTCGAACTGTGGGGAGGCGTGTCGAAGTCGGGGTCGCCGACCTCCAGGTGCACGACGTCCCGGCCGGTGCGCTCGAGGTCCTGGGCGCGCCGGACCATCTCGATGGTCCCCTCTCCGCGCAGTAACTGGGCGCGCCGTGCCTGCGTGGAAAGAAGCAGACAAACCCTGGGCCCTGGGCGTCCCAGACTGTTCTGCACCGGGCGCTCGCGTCCCACCTCGGGCCCTAGGGACCCCACGGACAGGCCTGGCTCGACATGATAAATGCCCCGTGACTCCCGGCTTCAAAATTTTTTTTTTTTTTTTTTTTTTTTTTTTTTTTTTTTTTTTTTTTTTTTTTTTTTTTTTTTTTTTTTTTTTTTTTCTTTTTTTTATTTTTTTTTTTTTTTTTTTTTTTTTTTTTTTTTTTTTTTTTTTTTTTTTTTTTTTTTTATTTTTTTTTTTTTTTTTTTTTTTTAAAAAATTTTTTTTTTTTTTTTTTTTTTTTTTTTTTTTTTTTTTTTAAAAATTGTTTTTTTTTTTTTTTTTTTTTTTTTTTTTTTTATCTTTTTTTTTTTTTTTTTTTTTTTTTTTTTTTTTTTTTTTTGGCGACTTCCTCGCGACGTCGGGTCGCAGAGAGGACGCCGCGACCGCCGCCAC